ATTTGGTCATGAATTTAAAAGGCAACATTAAAAGTACAATTTCCTTTTCGTAGTCAACGATGAAGTTGCAACCTTTCAGTTTTGGTATATACATTTGAGAGTGTGGTCAAAAAACCGACTCGTATTCAGTTTTCAAATTGTAGACTAACTAGTCTGTTTCCTAAAGAACTGGAGAAAAATGGGCTTACAAAACAAAAATGAAAACAATTTTTTTTTTTTCTGTTTTACATACTGGGCCAATTAGCAAAGGAACATCGAGAACACATGTAAGAAAAGGCTGGTGGCACGACGAAGGTACCTCTAAGGCACTGCTTACTGGAACGCTTTGGCAGCTCTGAATTTAAAACTTTCTAAAAAAGTAACAGTAGTAAGAGAAATGCTTCCAGCTTACAAAAGGGCTCACAGTTCTGAGGCAGCCTTTTGCACTGCACAGCCTACATGCAACATCTCAGAGATTTAAGGCTTTTCAGAAATGACATGTGTAGGGCTTTGCCACAGAAACATCAACATAAAGAAATCAGCAATGCAGACACATCCTCCTAATGTCACAGGTGTGAACACCAACAAGCAGAATTGGTTCTACCACTCGTTAGGACAGGTGTAGTGTACCAGAGCATATAAAAAATTGTACAAATTATATGTACCTGGTTTGTCACAGTGACTGTCATTTCATAGGATTCCAATAATTTACGGTTGTACAAAAACACACTGCTAAAGCCACTACACTAGTGAAACCAACAGAAGCCTTGGGTTTAAAAGTCATCTGGGGACTTGTAACACCAAGAGCTTGGAACGGGGGCTGCTTTTTGGCTGGTCTGAGTGCAGAAACTTTGCTGCTGGGATGCTTGGCAAATAGAAATTTGACTCAGAGCCTGTGGCAGGCAAATTGTCCTCAGAGTAGATGAAAAGGCTCATCGGCTTTTCACATCTGCTGTGAATGCCCCCGGACGGCTACAGTCCACCAAGACACACCAGTGGGAAGCAGCAGCATCAGGGTGATGCTGTTGCTTTAGCAGAAGGGAGTTTCTAATCTTCCTCTCTCTTGTGAACTGATCCTGTCCACACACTTAGGATCATTTAAGCATAGAGCACTGAAGAGGAACAAATGCCACCAGACAAATCCATGGATTAAATGCAGAAGTCCTAGCATCTCTCTCTTATTCTGTCACTAACCACCTGGGTGATCCTGGGCCTCAGCTTCCTCACCCACAAAATGAAGGAGAGTAGACTGTGCTCTCTTTTACCTGATCCCTCCCTCTCCAATCCATAAGGTTGAAAAGAAATGTTCTAGAGGCTTCAGTAAATTCTATAAATAGCATTGATTGTAAGGCAGAAAGTAGAAGTAGCCTTGAGGAAATTTACTGAAGTGATTAAAGATTTGATAACGAGACTTATGAGTTTATAATAATGAATTATAGCTGGGATTTTTTAAAATCCTGGTAAACTAAGGGTTGAAGATCAAATTAGAAACACACTTTAAATTGGTGTGTGATTACTGGGATGATGGTGACCAGCTGTGCTCAGTTTCCCCAGCGATGAGTGAAAGAAGACTTGTCAGAGAGAGACTGTTATACAACAGAAGTTCTGAAACAGGAAGACACATGGACACAATGTCACTCAATTAATATTCCCGTCTCCTGATGACCTGAGACAGGCCTGCCAGGAGATGAGCATCTTTGGTAGGGTGAAATGGAGGGGGAAAGAAATCTCAAATATAGTCACTGTGGCCTGTGAGGTTGAGGGCAGTGGTTCTCAACTGGGGCGATTCTGTGCCCCAGGGGATATCTGGCAATGTCTGAAGACATTTTGGGTTGTCACAACCGGAGTAGGATGGGGGGTTGTTACTGGCATCTAGTGGATAGAGGCCAGGGATGCTATTAAACATCACAGGACAGCCCCCCACAACACACAATTATCTGGTCCAGAATGTCAACAGCACTGAGGCTGAGCAACCATGGTCTAGGGTAGCTTGGACATTTTGTGATTCTAGGACATGTTCTGAAGAAGTCTTGGTTTATTTTAGGCCTCTCGTTGAGATGGAAATGAATGCCAACAGACCAGAGCCCTGTTCTTCAGCTCCTCCCTATCTCAGCTGTGGAAAATTTACCTACGAACTCTCCAGTGAAAGCACAAGATGTCCCTGAAACAAACCTGGTATTGGAAGGTCATGAGGAGATAGAGCACCTGAAAGAGAACAGTGAGGACAAGGCTTTGGAAAGACTTCATTTAGGTTAGGCCCGAAAGCTTTAAAGACAGGGGAGAAGACTCTGTCATACAGGGTGAAGGACTAAAGAGAGATTCAGATTGCAAGTCACAACACAAATCCCCCTACAGGGTCTCAATTGAGAGAGATAAAGAGGCCCAAGAGTTTAGGGAAAATATCTGTCCTACAGGAAACTTTAGAAGAACAAAGAAAGAAGTAAACAATAAAACATTTAGAAATTTTTAAGAGCAAAAAGTAACCCTCAAACTCAATTATGTAAGCCCCTGAGACTCAACTACAAAGGCATAAGGAGGAAGTGGACACTGGTGATGAAGAGGACCAGCTCGACCCGGTGAGTTCAGCAGACCTAGGTGCGCCTTTCTCTGCAGCCAACAGTGCTACCCTCTAGACAGTCTTCTTGGGTTCCAGTCTTTTTGTGCTTTGAAAAGTGACTTCCAAGAGCCCCCTTGGCAGCACAGAAGAGCCCCATTTCTGGGTAGGAGTACAGATGTCTCTTCCTCTGAGGTTCTGGGATGGCCTGGGTCTTAGCCACATAAGATAATTTACATTCCTTCGATAGTCCTGGCCCTAGGAGACTGGGGGCTCCCTTGAGGAAAGATGCAGGAAATGGGACCAAAAGAAACATCCCTAAATGGTGTGTCCAACAGATGTCATTGCAAATGCGGTGACCACAGAAGTGAGGAGCTTAGATGCCTGGGTTGAAGACCAGATGGAAGGGCAGACAACTAGGGAGATCCCTCAAAGGCCTGTTGTGATCAGCAACAAATGGAAGTCTCTTTATGGAGGGAGGATGAACACTGCCCTCCTGATTTATGTTCAGGATGTGCATTCCAAAAGGCGAGAGGCTTACACTTTCTCCTCTGGTCTTCCCAGTGACAAGTGGCACGCATTTGGGAGAGATCAGGGTTGGTCCAGAGTATTTTTCTGTTTGCAATGGGCCAGCCATACCCTTATGCTCATGACCACCAGATTTTGACCAAAGGTACAGGCAGGGTCACAGCAGATGCTGAGATGGAAAACGAACTGTGTGAGTTACAGGGACATGGCAGAGCTGTTTATTTTCTAGCTTGATGAAAAAAATCTTGACCATGTTCACAACTTACAAAACTTCTTTCATATTCTCTTGTTTTAACACATTCACAATAATTAGCAAAAAATTCTTTTCCTCTGGGAAGTTGGGGGGGTACCCTCTTGTCCTCTTCCCAGTGAAGCACTAACAGAAATAACCAAAGGCATGTGGCTGCATCAAGCCATCTCTGCCTGGGCAATGCTTCAGAATATCTGGATTGGAAAGTTGAATCTCTCCTGGGAAGAGAACCAAATGAGCCTTGTTTGAAAAGGTCAGAGATAGATAGCTGGGCCTCTTTAAGCCTAAGTCAAACAAGTACTGTGACTTACTGAGAGATGTCAAGTGAATGGATGTCTTTAGAGATAATGTATCTAGATCTACGGACACAGCTTGAGATATACATACATATCAGCACCTAGCAAACTGAGTGACACTAACTAAATGTTCAATAAATATGTGTTGGATAACTATATATGCCTACGTGTATATATGCATACACATACACATACATATAGTTATAGCAGGTTAACATGTACACTGGATCACCAGAAAAAAAGAATTTATCCACAGGCTGGTGAGGATGCTTGTATTATCTGGGGAGCAGAGATGCTAAAACAGATGAGCCTTTTATTTGTTTGACTGATGAAATTTTCTCCCAGCCACAGGATTTTCTATACTTTGCAGCTCACAGTGCAGTATTCATGCCAATTTTAAATTTTGTTATTAAATTTCAGTGGTTCAAATATTTACTCATCTTAATAAAAAATTTGGTTGTCCATATAAAATATAACTGCACACACAAGACTATAAACATTTTAAGTTTAAATTTTCAATATTTATCTACTTATTGCAAAAAGAGCCGTCTGTCCTTTTTCATTAAATAATCAGATCATCACATTAGTACAATATAATTTTATATTTTTAAATATACTATATATGTTAAGGATAAGGGTGAAGTTTTCTTTCTTTGTAATACCTGTTCAAGAGTTTAATGGATTAGGAGATTAGTTTTAACCTTGAGGAAAAAAAAAACAACACAAATTTGTCTCATTAAGATATTTCTACCACGCATTTCTTAAGGCTATATTTTAACATTTGGTTTCAAAAAAGAAAGAAAAGTTTCATTTAAAAAATAATTTAGTGAATTACATTCTTTCATCACTTCCACCCTAATTAGTTACAAAGATAAGTCTAAAGAATCTTAGTTTTGTGTACTCATTTACATTTATATTTAAAGATTAATTTAACTTGTATCTTAAAACAAGAATTTTATGTTGGAAAAAAAAAGAACTAAATACATTTGTATAAACGCTGTAAATGTCCCATGGCAAATGCTGTCTCGATATTTTCTACCACAATTAGACACAGGTCTCTGCAGACAGAGACTTGGGTTCTTAAGGTTCCCCTTTCCCGAGGAACTGTGGGCTGCAGATCTGAAGAACACACAGAAACAACTCTATTTCTCTTTTTACAACTGTACCAGAACTTCACAGCTACAATGGTAATATGAACACATGAAAAAATGACTTCACTCAAACGGGATTTAGAAAAGTTGAGGTGGCCTCGGGGCTGGGGCACCACCCCTGTGTGGTGAGGTTTACAGTCAGTCAGTCATTCGATAATGGAGTGTGTGTGTGCACGTGTGTGTGTCGTGTGTGTGTGCGCGTGTGTGTATAGACAGATATCTATATATATAAATAACCATGTTCAGTCCTTTACAAGCCTGTAAATGTGATGTTGTGCTCCATGTTCACTATTTGAAACTTCAAATACACAGGCCATGCAGAGGAGGGTTTCTTGTGTATCCCTGTTTGTTACCACCTGTTAAAAAAAAAAAAAAAAGGTAAATATATATATATCACCACAGGGATGACTCTACATTCCATCTGTGCCATGACAGCCACCATGACTTAACTGGAGAGGAAGTCTTCAATTCAGCCAACAGATTATTAGAGATCAGTTCAGCCTTACTCTGACCTAACGCAATTTCAGAACAAAAAGGGTCTCACTTGAATCCTATCCAAACTTGGCTACCACATGTAAGAAAGACCTTGTAGATATAGTCTTGCCCATAATCTGGGCCTAAGAGGAGACCACAGAACTAATTTTATTTCTTTACAACAAACAGAATTTTTCTCTCATTCTGTCCTATCCTAGGAGATTGTCTCCTATCTCATTCTTAAACATTTACTGAATTTTGTTTCACAACAGCCAACAGCGGACATAACGGACATAAGCTCTGTGAGTGTCTCACTCACCACTGCATTAACCAGCAGTGCCGGACTCAGGAAAATCCCTGGTCAACGACAGTGGTAAGACTAGAATCACATCACATGATAGTTCTTTTTAATTTACGTAGGCTTTATCTTACAAAAGGAGCCCTGGTGGTACAGTAGTTAAGAGCGTGGCTGCTAACCAAAAGGCTGGCAGTTCAAATCCACCAGCTGCTCCCTGGAAACCCTACACGGCAGTTCTACTCTGTCCTGTAGGGTCCCTATGAGTTGGAATCGACACGACAGTAACAGGTTTGGTTTTTATACTTCAAAATTATGTTAGGGTATTTGTCTGTTTTCTCTCTTAGGTTGAGTCTCTTGAATCCACCTCCCTTCTGACTGCCCACAGCCTCATCCTTCATTCAGATCTTGCTCTCTTACCTCCCCACTGGACCCCGACTCCCTTCCTCCTCACTCTGGTCTCAATTCCCTCATGACATTCTCAGAAGGAACCTCCTAAAAGCAATCCTAATCAAATGTCCTTACAACCCTTCAACGACTCCCTGTTTTAAGAGACAGCTAAGACAATCCATTCAGAGTTTTGGTTAATTCCTGAGGCTACTTAATATCCATAATAGGATGTCAAACTCACCTTCTGCTCATCTGAGCGCTAGTGCTAAAGTGATGCACCTAGCCTTAAACAGCAACAGAGAGCACCTATGTGACCAGTGTCTGGTGGCACCTAAACTTTGAACTGCTCAATTTTCATCAAAAGACCATCTGAGAGAAAATGATACTAATGAAGGGTTATTTGTTGTTATATTGTAACTGCTGTCAAGTCAGCCCGACTCATGGCAAGCCCATGCACAACAAACCACTGCCTGATCCTTCACCATTTCCATGACTGGCTGCGGATTGGACTGTTGTGATCCACAGGGTTTACATCAGCTGATTTTCAGAAGTAGATTGTAAGGCTTTTTATCCTAGTCCACTTTAGTCTGGAAGCTTCTCTGAAACCTATTCAGTAGCATAGCAACGTGCAAGCTTCCACTGATAGATGAGTGGGGGCGACACAGGAGGTGCACTGGCCAGGAGGTGAAGTCAGGTCTCCCACATAGAAGGCCAGAACTTGACCACTAAACCACCATGGCCTGCAAAAGAGTTACTAAAGAACACGTATGGAACCCTAGTGGTGCAGCGGTTAAGTGTTCACCTGTTGCCAAAAGGTCAGCAGTTTAAATCCACCAGCTGCTCCTTGGAAACCCTATGGGGCAGTTCTACTCTGTCCTATAGGGTCACTGTGAGTTGGAATCAACTCAACGGCAATAGGTTTGGTTTTTGGTTTTTTATTCCAAACCTTTCCTCAGACTACTGTTTTCTAAATTTTAGAAGGTCACGGACACATGTGAGACACTACAGAGATTCTTTCCCTAGAATAAACGAAAACTTTATGCAGTTACATGTGTGCCAACTGTACGCTAATTATGTGTCTGTGAACTGAGGCTCACGGCAGCTCATTTACCAATCGCCTATAGCAATGGCTCTCAACCCTGGCTGCACGTTAGAACTACCTGGGGGAACTTTAAAAATAAACAAACAAAAATGATGCTGGAAGGCACCCCTCAGAATTTTTAAAATCTTCCTGGGTGAATCTAACATACAAGATGTTTTAAAATTTTATTATTTATTTTTATAGTAGTATGCTGGAGTTGGCTCCTACTTATTCATGAGTTAATCATTAAATATATGGAACTTTAGAGCCACGCAAGTGTTGGCAGCTTGAAGTGCCCAAGGAGGAAGTATTTACACCACAGAAACTGGCAAAAGCTATTAATCAAGGTTTCTTTGGGGGTAGGGGAAGAGCTTTTTCTTTTAACTGCACACCACTGTTTGAGAACCACTGTCCCAATGGATCCCAAAAATCCAGGTGAAAAATTCCTGCTCTACTGGTAACAGGGAACTCAAGGTTGAGAAGCGAGAGTGTTGACATGTTGTGGGGTTGTTAACCAATGTCATAAAACAATATGTGTACTAACTGTTTAATGAGAAGCTAGTCTGTTCTGTAAACCTTCATCTAAAGTACAATTAAAAAAAAAACAATACCTGCTCTAAGTAGTCTACTTCTTAATCCTAGTAATAAGGTAGGCCTTCAGAG